GGGGGGGGCTACATCTAGCCATAGAGGCTAAGAGGGAGGAAACAGCTCAGGAGCTGGCTGAATGAATGAAAAGTGGTGTCAAGCCAGGAGTAGTGGCACATAGCTTTAATCCCAGCACCCAGGAGGCAGAGGCAGGAGGATCTCTGTGAGTTGAAGGCCAGCCTGGTCTACATAGTGAGTTCTAGGACAGCTGGGGCTACAGGGAGACCCTGTCTCAAAAAGACAAACAAACAAGAAAAGTAGTGTCAAGTGAGAGACTCCCAGTGGGGCCCTGGTGCACAGCCCACGGCCACCCTTCCTGTACTAAGTGGGAAGAGCTGCAATCTTAGACTGTGTAAACATCAGTCTGAGCTCATAGAGGGTGGAGCTCATGTTTCTTTGCTCATAATACCTAAACCTAATGAGTAGTGGTGCTGTGCAAATAACTTGATGAATTGGTCTAGCTGTGGACTGCTTGCCCTCAGACTTAGAAGTTCATCACTGCTCTCTGGGGGATGAATACTTGCAGCATCCAACCTGGGTTCAGGGCTGCAGTCCATCTTGTGAACAATCTTTGTCCACATTTTCCAGATGGTAAGTGGGAAAGGCCCTGGAGAGAAACCTGAAACCTGACCTCCCTCAGGCCCTACCATCTTTCCTTTTTTCTTTATGGGTGTTCCTTCTGGTATCATGAATGAAGTGACACCATACAGTCCCGGCAGAGACTGAGTCATCAGGCTCTCCAAATGAATTCATTTTAACTTAATTCATCTGCTTCAGTGAGATTTTTCCAGATTACGAAAAAACAAAACAAAACAAAAAAAACATTCCATGAAAAGATTTGGCCAGGACATTTTGTAAGGTTGGCCAGAGGGCCTGTCAAGCTCCTACTTGTCCATCTGGGCTGCTATTTATACACCTCCTTAGTATGGCTTTCCCCTTGTATCCGAAAAATGAAACAAAACAGAAAGTGGGACATGGGAAAGGTTAGCTACAGTTTTCTTTTCCTGCTATGTGAGACCTTGGAAGACTTGGCCACCATTTGAAAAGTCTGACCTTAGAAAACATCTGGCTGTAGAAGGAACTTGTCCTGAGAAAGGCAGAGTCTGAGGGCAGGACCACCCATTGGAGGAGGACATCTCAGGGCCAGACATAGAACCAGGCGACCAGGAAACCACAGCATCAGCAAGCTGAGCCTACTCATCTTGGAGTAGCCTTTCAGACAGGACCGCCCAAAAGTTCAGCTGCTTTTGTCTAGGGGAGAGAAAAAGGGCCACCTGCCTTTGCAAGCTGCTCAGCGTGCTCAGCAGTTTGTGTTCCTGTGGGTGGCTGAGTGTGTGGGTCACTCAGCACTGTGATTTCAGTGTTTAGAGCTTTGTTCAGGATAAAATGGCTGGAACTACAAACCAGCTTCATCGACAACCTGGCTGTGCTGGGCCCACCAGCAGAATTCGTAGATGTTCACAAAGGAACGTGCTTGTCCTGGTGCTTCAGCAAGGGAGGGAGCCCAGCCTCTTCCCTGGCTTCAGGCCACCTTCTTAGAGGCAGCTCTCAAGTTCAGGCCTTTGGAATCCAAAGAAACACTTTATTTTCTGCTTTCCCCATAGGCTGGAGTCCAGGAATCACGCTTCTAACATGATGGTATTGCACGGCTGGTCTTTGCATTTGTTTTCTGTTGTGGCTGTAATGAATTAATGCAGACAGCACGTTTGTTATCTTACCGTTCTGTTTGATCAGGCATCCAACCAGCCTCACTGGGTGCTATACTTTAGATATGAATGTATCTCAAAGTTTCCTGTATTAGACTTGGTGCTTTTTGGAACTGGTAGAAATTTCAGGAGCTGAGGCCTAGTAGGAGGAAGTTAAGTGGGGAGGGGGTGGGGGGGGAGGGCGGCTTTGTGTTTTCCAGACACTGTGAGGTGAACAAGCCTCCTGCACCACACACTCTTGCCATGAAGTGCTGAGCCACCACAGACCCAAAGCAGCAGGGGATCCAGTGCGCTCTTCTGACCTCCATGGGCATTACATGCATGTGGTGCACTTACATACATGTAGGCAAAACACTCATACACATAAAAATAAATAAAATATTTATTTAAAAAACCTGGAGAACCTCACCATTTTTTCATAGCTATATCTCTGGCTCTCTGCAGCTAGGGAAAGCACTCAGATTTTAGGGAGTCATGTGGGTAGATTGGATCTATCTAGATACTCCAAGCAATTCTTCCATCTCACAAGCCCTAACTCTAACCACATTTGCAGAGTCTCTTGCCCTGTGAGAAGGACCTCAGTGTGGACACCTGTGGAAGCTGTTCACCTATAACAGTTATCTTTTCCGTCTTTCTCCTCTCACTAACAGTAGAATCTCCATTTATTTCAGGACTAGGGGAAAGTAGATACAGAATGAGATTAATATAAGGACCTAGCCCATGTCACGATGGAGATCAAAGTCCAGGATCTGCTACCAGCAAGCTAGAGATCCAGGCAGGTCTATTAACCAAATTAAGAGAATGATGCAGACTCCAGTCCAAGTCTGCAGATCCAAGACCCAGTAGCACCAGGGGCAGGACATGAATGTCCCAGCTCAGGCAGTCAGCACAAAGAGAATCCAGTCTTCCTGTGCCTCTTGGCTCCATTCGTGCCATTACAGATTGGATGGTGCCATCCACTCTGGGCAGGCATCTGCTTTGCTCAGTCTACCAATTCAAATGCTGCTTCCTTCCAGAAATGTCCTTCCAGGCTCACTCAGAAGTAATGCTTTACCATCATTGTCCCAGTCAAGTTGATACATAAAATTAACCATTATACAAGCAGAAGACTCAGGTTGATTCACCATTAGGCCTCCCCATTCTGTCTTTGTGAGCACTGTTTGCCCTAGGAGAGCTTTTCACAGATCAGTAACCAGTCATGGTTGCCATTTTCCCTGAGCCAGATCTTCGACCAAGCAGCTGAGGTAGTAAATGTGGCCTCCTTGGTCAAGGAGAAGCCATGCCTCATACATACTAGAACTGTCTCCCTCCAAAGCTATTGCTGCATTTAGATGTGTTTCCTGGAGTGGGAATCAGCCTCCTAAGCAGCCAACCTGAAGGGAATTGGAGATGCAAATCCAACACTTTGGGAATGAGCAAATCACAGACTGAAGGATTTTGGACAACAGTGAGCAAGATTTAATGCCCATTTTATAGATGAGCAAAATGAGGCATACAAAGGTGCTAATGCCAAAACAACTCTCATCTCAAAGGAAGTAAGAGGATTTATTCTGGAGCCAAATATGAGTGACCATGGCTCAGGAGGACAGATTTGGGTCACTCCAAATCCCATGTTCCAACATAA